AATTTATCACAATAAAACAGAAACCGATTTTCGTGGATAATTTGTTCCACCATGCGTTCTTCTATAAAATTCTCGCTACAAACACGTTCTAAACTTGCAGCACTTAAACTTGCGATATCCATATTGAGAATATCTCAAAACCCTTTGAAAAATCTCGAAAATGTCTGCAAACCTGTTCAAATGTCAAATGTATTATTATGTTATACTATCCAAGAGTATTAACTTGAATCAAAATTAAAAATTAATCAAAAACAGATGAAAAATGTTGAAAAGAACCGAACATCATCAACTTTAAAACAATATCAGGAAAAAAATTTTATTAAAAAAGGAACTGTCAAAACCCATGTTTTTCTGGAAGCCCTACTTCCGAACTTTTTCAAAGCTTTTCAACATCACCACTAGAAAGATCATGGTTTAAAAGCTCTAAAGCCCCGGTTTCATTAACTTTGGGTTGGTGCTTCATTACACAACAAGCTTTTGGATTTAACACGCCTATTACAACACTTTTACTAGTAATATAGAATAATCAGAAAGTGTCCATATGTAGTGAAAGTTATTGATAAAGTTTCAGGTACGTCTGACTTGTACTTTTAGCAGCTTGAAAAGTTTGTTTTTCATCTGTTGTGCTTGTTCTCTTAATCTATCACCATCAATTTTATATGCTCTTGCCAATGTTGATGACAAAGATAGCGTGAACAATGTCGACATCGTGCTGTGATACAAAATTTTGATTGTGATTTCCAGTATTGTTTCTCAGGACCGCTCCAAGCGTATTCGCCACACTGAACACCTTCATCGTATTGATGTTCACATTTCCACGTTCCTCAAAATAAAAATGTGGTAATTAATTGGATCTGCTCTGTATTTCTGTTTTACCTGGATTAAACTCTTCTCCACCAGGTAATGATCGAATTTTGGCCCGCAAATTGGGATGTATGATCTTTAGTGGCTTCATCCAATCCGGATCGACCATTTCTCCAACGAATAAATTATTGAAATGAGGAAAAGAAGTCGGTCCATTTGGGAGAAACTTGCTTCTGTCATTGAGTTTTTCTAAGTAGGCTTGCATTAACGGGGTTACATTAATTTTCGACAACGACGGCAATAGATCAACAGCTTCTACACTCTGAATGCTTACTAGGTCAAGATCTGGCAACATTTTCATGGCATTTTTTAGCTGAACGACGCTCGTGTACAGCAGGGTAGAAAACTTGAAAAATGGAATTAAGTCACTCTGAGCATACACACACGGTTCAGTTTTATCTGAGGAAAAGTTGGGAAACAACATTTCGAATTCATCCCAAAATTTTGGCAAACAGAATTCACTCGACCGATACGTATTCAAAAATGGGGTGGCTGAATCATTCGGCCAGTCAGTACGGTTAGTAGGAAACTGTTTCAACGACATCTGTCGAAATTCTTCTTCCATTTGTTTGCAGTGAATGTCGTGTTCACTAACGACAAAGTTCAAATCGTCCTGAAAAACAAGTTTTCTTTATGTCAATGAGGAGTTGTGAATGACTCGGCTCTTACTTACATGATCAATTACATCAACGGGATCCTCATTAAATATAGGAATGTTTTTCAACGACTGAAGGGTTAGCGATGCGATCTGCACTAATTCTAAACTGTATGGCTCAAGAATATTAATATCAGCTAGAAAATAATGTTCGCAATCTTTTTTAGATAATTTTTCAATGGCAAAATTAATCCATTCTTGACCTATTTGAATTAAATCTGCTCGATTTTCTAGTGATGAGATATTGCGAGCAAACTCCATCGTTTCACACATCCATAGGACTGTCGTTTTGACGAAATACGAAGGAATGTAATCGCCATTGACAACAATCGATCGTATTGTCTTGTGATAGATAGTACGAGCAATCGCATTTAGAAGCCGTTCCTTTGGAGTTCTATTTTGAGCAATGATCAATTCTAATTTTGAAAACGAATAACGAAATTCGAACCGCGTGTCGTTCGAATGAAATGATTTTCTCGACGGTTTTGAAACGATATAAATTAATTGTTCGTCACCTAGTAGTCGTGTAATCAAATAAGGATGACGTTCGGCTATTCGATGCAAAAACGGCTGCAATGCATCGGGGATGTAACCGAGTTGAAAGGCAAAAACATTATCGTACTCAATTTTTACACAATTACTTTTTTGAATTTGTCGACAGATGTTTAAATTTGCCAGATGTTGATATTTGCAATAGAAGCGGATTACTGCTTTGACTTTCTGCTTCAGTTTATCGGGAAGTGGAATTCCGAATGCGGGAGCCATCAGCGCACAACAAAGATCAACCGAGCGATCATCGAGTGAGAATACTAGCTGTGCTGCACTATTTAAAATCGACTTAGCTCCTTCACAACTGTCTGGCATCACGTTCGAGTAACATGATGAAAAATCGGCCATGTTCATTTTACTACTAACAATAGCACATGATTTTCGTAGAAGTTGACAGTAAGCGTGGTATTGTTGATAGAGGGGCTCTACACATTGATTCAGTCGAATTTGTCGAAATATATCCGAATAGCTTTTTATATCAGGTTTAAGATGCACCGAGAGCGGAACATTGGCACTTGTGATTAATGAAGACTTGTCAGCACCCATTTCACGATCGCCTACTCTGCACGTTGCCGCAATTTCTTCGTACAAGTTCTGTTTAAATTTAACGCCGTCAAAGCAGACCTGTCCGCTTAAATCTGTATCAAAAAACTTTATTAATTTTGAGTCGAACAGCGAATTGTTGACCTGGCGGATTTTGATAAAACCAGTCGCGTTAATTAAATCAATAATCTGATTTGGGTTATTTATTACGCCTGCCACGTACAAATTATCAATCTCAATATTTCCATCTGGCTGTAGAAAACGAGTAAACATCTCGCCCTCATATGCTCCACCAGCGCCAGCAATGACAAGTGGTGGCAGAGACGGATAATCATCTTCAATGTACTTTCTTTTATCATTTGCAAACAAATCAGTGTACAAAGTAGATATTGCAGTGGCCATGCTATTTTGATTTGCCTAGTTTATATAGAATTTTTGATGGGTGATGAGAATATAGACTAACTTCCTTTTCAAAATATTCAGGGCATATGCGAGCCTGATTTGAATGAAGATGAAGACTAATTATGGCTTCTGCGAATATCAGTGCTCTGATTGCTGATACTCTTACGATATATATCGTTGATAGAAGTAAAATATAATGAGTATGCAAGAATAAACCGAACGTTCTCTGTTCGTTGAATACTTTTATCGTCCACTGCCTAGAGCTAAGTCTTCTTTCAAAAACTCCTGATAAAATTCTCTACAAGAACGGCTAACAGTTTCGCTATAAACTGTCCAGGTCAAGAATGAGATAAAAAATTCTTCAAAACTCAAAAACGCAAAACTTTTGAAAGCTTTTTCATAAGGACTTGATTAATTTTAACTGTTATATAAGCATAAAAAAGTTTGAGTAAGCTTTTGCGTACTTAAAGTATGCTTTTTCTGCTTACGCATACGGGCAAAAAGTTATTCAAATCTTGGCGTTTGAATATACTTGGTTAACCACTTGTCTTTACAATATAAAAAGTTTAAAAGTTTCGTTTTTGGTCTAAATTATACGAATTTTACTGGATGGAATGCAATGTCACAAAGAAAAGGATAATTTTTTTTTAAAATCTGAAAAATAAAAATTCCTGTTACGCAACAGATATTGATGTCAAAAACTTTTAATTCTAGTTAAAGGGCAACTTTGCAAGGGTTATAAGATGTCTGACTAGTTTTATTGCCTGAACAGACCAGTTAATAAAACTATCTTGGTTTTAGTTTTCTATCTGGTGTTTCATTTTGCAGTTTGAAGAAATTTTTATCTCATATTTGACTTTTACAGTTTATAGTGGAACTATTAATCGTTCTTGTAGAGAAAAATTACTTATGAATTTTTTGGAAGAATACTTACGTCTAGACGGTACAAGATAAAGTTATTTACCGAATACGTTCATTTTACTTTGACATACCTGTTATAAATATTTTAATTTGAAAGTGAAATATTTCTAAAAAGAAGGTTGAATTGGTGCTTCCTGAATATCTTCATCGAAATGAAAATTTTTCCATTGATAGAATAAACATTGCCACATTACTCAGCACAATTGATGCATGTTTCTATTACTTTGTCAGAATACTAAACGTTAGAGGTTTCGGCTTTCCAGCAATATATAGTGCTAAGATCAACGGATCATACTCGCTGGCAAAAACATTGTAATGAAAGCTTTTTGCGTAACAATCTACTCTTCCAAAGATTGATTGGATATAACATCTGCGGATGTTACCGTTTTCTTTTTTCATAGAATTATTTCATCAAGTCTTGGCTGTCGATCGATCAGACCCGCAGAATCTCCATCATTTTGCATTCAAAGGTTATTCAAAAAATAACAGTCTCTCTTATATTTTGAAAAAGGGTAGCATTTACTTACCAATGATGGTAGATTTTCATGGAAACTAGCCACGGTCAAACCCATCCCCATGTGGCAACAAGCAATGACATAAGGTAAACACATTGATACCGCCATAACTTCGAGTTTGGATGAATCATTAGTTTCGTTTTCAGTTCCTATAAAATGATCTGACAGATTACACATGACCAATTTTTTAAAACAATCCATCAGCGGATCAAGAACTACTATTAATTGTAAGAAATAATACTCTCTGATTGTGATCTCATTTAGTTGAAAGGTCGTAGAACGTTTTTTCCTTCGCATTTACTCCTAAATATATACTAACTAAACGTTTCCATATGTTAACATATCATCCTCAGTAGTTAAAGACAAAATTGTTTATAGACCCAAGATCTAAAATTGGAACAACTTTTCTAAATTTCAAGAAAAATGTTAAAATAATGTTTAGAAATATAAAATAAAACTTTATAAACATCATACATAAGATTTAACTATGTATATACGGCGCGTCTTCCTTGTTGGGTAATGCAGCATAAACAACTGACTTTATACTGAATTCATCTCATGAATGAATACCGTAGCTTTGATAAAATAGTTTTAGTGACCTTCTAAATGTACCATCTGCATTCCAGTGTGGACTAGAATTAAGAATTTGTAATGATTCTGGCGCTGAAAAACTCAAAACTGGATAAGGGTCTGGATTGTGCAAAATAAAACACATTTAAATCGAATGTATGATACACGAAAAAACTTTTGTTGAGCGTAGACGTTTCAATACAATGTTTTAGACTTTCACTTCACTTTATGTGTTCTATACAGTATTTATTATATACAGTTTATTAAAATAGAAGCCACAAGTCCGTCTTCCAAACTGAGATCACGTTTCAAAATTGATAGAATATGCTATTTCCAAATTGAGATCGTTTTTATTTCTTTAATTAATAAAAATGTGATCTCAATTAAGAATGAATCAGTTAAATCTTATGTATGATGTGTATAAACTCCTATTGTATCTTTGTAAACATCATTTTAACATTGTCTTCAAATTTGAAAAAATTGTTCTAATCATAGATCGTAGGTCTATAAATTATTTTGTCTTTGACTACTGAGGATGATATGTTAACATATCGAAACGTTTAGTTAATATATATTTATTAATAAATACGAAGAGAAAAAGTCACTAATCTTTCAGCTAAATCATTAACATCGTAAACAATAAGAACATTCATTATGATCTCGTTGGACTCTCCATACAAAAGCCCTATATTTTCAACCAAAATCCAACGTGCATGGAGTTTCGCCATCGAAAGACCCTTTGCAATCATCCGCATAGACTTTTGGAGACCAACAAATAAATTAACTCCTGATGTATTTATAGTTTTAAGGATCCAGCGAGTTCAGTTTCTTCAAGAATATTCTTAAACTATCTTACCTATCAAAGAGAAATTTGTTGCCATTTTTCACTGTTTATATGTTTTGTTTAATATAAAACATGATTGAATTTCTGTATTTCATTCCACAAGAATAGAATTAAAATTAAATATTGATACTGTGTAAAGAATAAAAGTCAATATTGCGACGTAGTTTTGCAATTCATCGAGATTGAATGAAGAGGAGAAAAGAGAAGACTTGATCAATATATTGCTTCTTGCTTACTGCACACAGTATTGAGAGAACAATCAAACAGCATTCGCAAACGAAAGTGAGGAGAATTCTTGTCTCAATAGCTGCGCATGTGTAGATGTCTGTATCTGAAAAATCTTTTTGAAACAGCTCAGCATTATGCATTATGTTTTGTATTGTAGACGATATAGTTGCTGGAGATGTGTTTCGTAGATATTTGTGTAGACTCAATCACCATAAGTTATGGTTTGGAGTAAAAAGTTTATAAAATTTGTATAGTTGATTGAGGTTGAAGGTATATTTAAATGTTTTGATCGGATGTAGAGTTTTTTACATTTATTCTCAACACTTCGCATACGGGGGGCCAGCTTAAAGCCTAATCGCAAGGAGAAGAATATTCATGAGGCGTTACAGTGGAAGTAAAATTTCTTTCACCCGCTTACTGCTACTCATTCAATAATGATTTATGTGTTTATTTAAAAAAATTTGATATACAATGTCCTTCACGTGAATTTCTTATGACAATATGACGCAATTAAGATTAATTTTTAGATTACACTTGCAATAAGTCGAATCAGTTAAAGTGCTCTCCTCTATCTGAAATTTTTCTAAAGGTTCTGTACTGAGCTGCCTGTATCGTCAAATAGTCCAACGTATCTGATGTCAGTAGCCATTTCTCCGCATCGGCTGTTTCAAAGAAAGATTTTTAAAGTCTTGAAAAAATGATTTTTCGCTTGATAACCTTCGATCATGTATTTTAGTGAAGAAAACTTGGAAAGGTTCGAGAAGCAATTCTTTAAATAACATTTGAACGAACGTAGATGAAGACTCGTGGTTTCCACTGTTCTTGTTGGAATGTGCTTCTTTCGAAAACTTCGGGAGGCTGCAGAAAAAGAGCATAACTCTATAAGAAGAATGAAATCAGTCAGTATATGGTCTCCTTATTAAAGTACTCTATGAAAGATAAACTGAACACTTTTCTGAATGCCGGATAAATATTGGGATAAATACTGCGAAGTTTCGATCTCAGTTACTTCCCAATCCAAAAAAACAGTTTTATCTATTTTAGTCCTTGTTATTTAGCCATATAAAACAAGAGAAGATAGCCATTTTGTAGCACTCAAAAATCTATAAAATGACACTGTTTTAAATTCTTTATCATCACAAGAGGTGGAGAGCGGATTTTTCACCTTTTGCCGTTATATTTCTGGGCTGAGATATAGTCAAAACAAAACAAACGACCAGTAGTTTTGGAACACCCTACCAGACGCTTATTCCTGTTAGAATTTTTATTATTGTAAGTTACCTTTTTGCCTATGTTATGTTTTCCAACCACATAATGACGAAGAATTCAGGGATACGGACTACGAAAAAAACTTGCTTGAGTTGATTTAAGCTTTTTTTATTTAAACTTAAATCAACTCAAGCAAGAAAAAAACTTGCTTGAGTTTTTTCAGATTATTGCGGGTGACATCGCCTAGAGTCTCTCTTCACAACAGCTGTTGTAGATACCATACACTTTATCACTTAGAGTGTCATTTCGTCAGTTAAAGTGACACTTCAGTCATAAGTGCACACACTGGAAGTGAGATTTTCTCCCCTTGGTCAGGGTACTGAAGTAGCAGTGGGCACTGTTTCTGTTAGTCCATTAATCTATTATTGTAGTCTCTTTTATCGTGCATACATCAGCAATGCATAATCCAGTTTAACATGAGTTATACAGCTCTTGCATTCTACTTACGATCACATTGTTCTAGCTAACCCCTAACACAGAAATTTTTCGTTTGTGTACTGAGTAATAGAAATCCGCTCAACTATGTGAATGCTCGACGCTTCACAGACGACAAAGTTTTTAGAACGGCAACTTAAATTCTTAAGGTCGACTTTTCTGTGGTTAAAACATATGTGTTACTATTTAAGGGTAATACTCTCCAATTGATCAAATAA